AAAAAAAAAAAAAAAACAGGAGTGGCAGTTGGAGCCGGTCTTCAAGGGACGGTTGCAATTATCAACCTCTGTTGTTATTATTTGATTGGTATTCCGGTTGGGGCTTTGCTCGGTTATGTGGCTCATCTTGAAGTTGAGGTAAATACTCGATCTTATTATCGAGCATTTTCGGGAATGAAAATTCATGTTTTAATTACACTTGTTACAGTTTATTTTTTTTTCTAAAAGTTTAAGGATAGTAATTTTTACTAATGAAAGCTGCCAAAACATACTCAAAACTCTTCTTATTTTTCATAGTGTTAGCTCGACCATTAAACACTTGCGATTTCGGGAACTTTTATGAGCACTTAGAGAGCTCTTCCTTGCATTTTATATATAGCTCATTTGAAAATCATTTAGGAAGCAAATTTCATGAACTTGTGAGTAATAATGCATCGGCTTTTTTAGTACTGAAAATAACAGCCGGTTCGAATCCATTTGCAGGGTATTTGGATTGGGATGAACATAGGAATCTTTGCACAGTCGCTTGCACTTAGTTACATGGCGTGGAAAACTAATTGGGACGAACAAGTGAAGATAGCTGCCGAACGTCTTCAACGTTGGTACCTCAGATCATCGGAAGAAAATGGTAGCAACGGGCATGCATGACATGAGTTATTTAATTTAGTTGCTCTACAATTTTTGGTTTGATTCGACAAATTTATAAATGAAAATGGATTTGATCCTTCCTTTATGTTCATCTATGTTCTTTTGTCTTAACTTTTAACATTATGAGAGGTGTTGACCAACGGATTTCATCAACCCATAAGATTGAATTAGTGTTAATAATATGACGTTTAACCTGCTTTAATCCACCAAAANNNNAAAAAAAAAAAAAAAGAAAGAGTAAGTACCTTGCTTAGAACTTATTAATTCGGGTTTTGGTTTTTTTTGCTTATAATAAAGTTGTTCAAGGTGAAGTTAGTGTCTTGGCTGGAGTTATGTGTTTAAGCCTGTTTTTACTTTAAGTTGCTAGGTTTTATTTTATTTTGCTTATCTAGTATACTTGGTTAGTTAAATTTTGAAGTAAAAATCGAGACTTGGGAGGTCGGTTATTTTGCAATCGATTGTTCGACTTTAGCTTCTAGATGTGTTAAGACATAGCTTGTTTTACTTCTGTTTTTGCTTTTTCTCGAGTTTTGAAGACTTAGATAAAGTTGAGTAAAACTAGTATCTTTTAGTTAATTGATTTCAATTGCTTAGATTTAATTAGTTTAAAATCACTCCAATCAATCTTTTAGTGGAGCTTGAAGACTTAGAATTTTGTTTTCTGTTTTTGTGCTTTTTGATGACTCCAATAGATGACTCGAGTTTGGTCTTACAATCGTACTCGGTAAAAATATACTCAACAATGTCGGGAGGACAACATGAATCAAGGTAAGAACAATGTTGGGAGGTCTAAAATGTATCCAAGATGCAAATTAGATCTCCAAGCTCCACTTCCGAATCTATATCTGGCATCTCCCAAGTCGAGTCAGATACTCTGCTTCGATTTGTTCACTTACTACAATCTAATGCCAAGAACTCTGCTTTTCGACCTTTTGCACTCAGTTGTAAAGGCCACAAACTAACCAAACTGCACCCTTGGATCTAATTAACCAAAATAAAACCAATGCTAAGGGATCAGAAGCCGAGTTCTTTAAGGAGCTCAGACAGATGAGGGATCTCCGTGATCTTGAGGTCTTACAAGTAAAGGTCTGTAGCGGATGGGTTACGAGGTCGATGTGACGATCTAAAGACCTAAGAGCCGTGCCATGAAAGGGAATAGAATTGAATCCCAATAAGAATGACAAGTATGAGTCTGACATATTAGAGACTTGTCATACCTACTTTCCAAAAATTAAATGTAACTACTATATCATCCAAAGCAATGTTTTAAATATTGTATTGGTAATCATATTGACTCAGTTCAATCACTTTTAACCGTCTAGTTTACCTTTTCAATAAAGATTAAATTAATTTATTATTATAACATAAATAATGTATAAAATTAACTAAAATCTAACAATAATGTAAACATATATAAATTAATTGTAGAATTTTCAATTCACATAAATGAATTCATAAAAAAAAAAACAACAAATTTGTAAAAATGTCCGTTATACACAATGTTTTAACCAGTATTTTCCTGTAAATCTGGTAGTCGGTATTTTAGCCAAAACGGTATTCAGAGGGTAATCGTGCTGGTTGGACCACCAATATATGGTATTGCCGGCCTGTACGGTACGTGTTTAAAAAATTGATCCAAAGTCTTCATATAACTAAACAACTTTTGTCCATAAAACACTTCAATTAAAACAACCACATACGAGAGGACGTCCTATGACACTTCAATTAATAAAAATGACCGCGCGTCGTTACACGGTAAATTTAAATTTATAATATTTTCCTCAACAAACCTCCACTAACTAGTAGTAGCGGTGAGTGAGGGTCGATCCCACGAGGAGCAGGAATTAAGTCGTGACAATTTTTGTATTAATCGAATTCAAACTAAGAAAGCAGTAAAAGGGAG